TGTTTATTAATATTCTCTACCCAGTTACTATAACATATCAATACTATTATGCCTGCTTCGGAAAGTCCTAGAGGAAGATGAATTGTAATTTCGACTAGGCTATATCTTGAGCAAACAAAACCCCCTACATGACTTACACCACTTTTAGCTGAACCAATCTTTCATATAATATTTTCCAAAGGTACTATACGTGTTAACGACCAATTTTCCACTTTTGAGAGATTTTTTAGTGCTGGTAGCTGAGGAATAACTTTCATATTGTTCCAAAAGGCTTGAGACGTTACTGTATTTCTTTTTATAATGTATAAGTACACCGATTGCAGGAAACGATGATGTCTGACATTTCAATGTATCTAGAAAAGACAATTAGTTTTTCACTAGGCCTAATGTAATGGACAACTCTTTCTTTCTTAAGGAATATCTAAAAATGTTTATTTTCATACCCATTGATTATGTAACCTGAACAGGTGACTCAAGCAGTTTTAAAATAATGATTGTTCTGTGGAACTTTTGATTGTGTCAAACAGTTCTGCTTATCAAAAATCCTCAAGTAATTAATATATAAAAAATTATACAGTCACTAAAAATCATGAAATAATTTATTTTTGTAAAAAAATACAACCGACTTCAAACGCTCTAAAAAGAATGAAATAATTTCAATAAAGTAAACTTTTGTATTAGGCAAGCTCACGTATTTCAAGTCAGCGCGGCTCAAACTGCAAATATGATTGAAATTAAATATTGTGTGTGTATTTTGAAAATCAATAAATTGTAGCTGGATAACATAAATATATAAAAAACATACTGAACTGTTTTGTTTATATATTAAAGGAAATATTTTCTTGTATTTATGTTTACTTCAGAATAAATGCATTATGAAAATAACACACACAAATGTTCTATATGAATAGGAAAATAATTTAGTTTGATATTATGATAGGGAAAAGAAGCTAGTTTAGTATTAAAACGTTACTTTTCCAAGTTAGAAACATTTAAATGCGTTATAATCTTTTTAAAGATACTCGTTAATACCACTATAATGCCGATCTCTGATTACGGTAATAAAATAACACTTAACGCATAACTATGAAAAAGACATGCAGATTAACACCTTTAGTTATAGATAGTCACCTGCAATATGAACACCCTCTTTCAATTTTGTATCAAAAATCATCATAGAGTCGCGCCGACTTAAAATATGTGAGCTTGCCTAATACAAAAGTTTACTTTATTGAAATTATTTCATTCTTTTTAGAGCGTTTGAAGTCGGTTGTATTTTTTTACAAAAATAAATTATATTATGGTTCTATCCCCAGCTCGGTATAGGCACTAGACTTCTCATCCCATTGTAAATTTTGAAGCTCGTTTTGCGTGTCTAGTTCATGTCTGGTGACACTGATTGCTAGTGTCGACGAAATTTTGTTTTTTATCATTTTAGGTTTATTTCAATGATTTATGCTTTACTGTTTGGTTATACAGGGTGTCCCGTAGCTCTCTGGGCACATGTATATAGCGTTTTTTCGTGGAACGGTTTTCGTGAAATTTGGCTTCACATATTCTAAATGGCCGCCATTTTGAAATAGTTATTTATTTTTTAGTATAATTTCTAATGAAAATAGATCATAATAAGATAAACATTTTTGCAAAATATCAACGCTATATCTCAAACCGTTTAGGAGTTATCAGTTTTTGTTGTTGTTGTAAAAAACACATAAATACATGCAGACGGAAAACTAGGCACCACAGACCCATGTTCCTATGGTGACATGTGTTTGTCTTGACCTAAGGAATAACGCTATGTACATATGTCCAGAGAGTTACGGGACACCCTGTACAACTAAAGGACGAGTCATTGTTTATGATCATTTTATTTTGCTAAACGAGGTTTTAAATGTTTGAAATAACAATAAACAAAAACGACCTCTACAGTGCACCGGAAAGAGCTAACAATAAAATTGGCTTCAGCTGTTCCATAACGATTCGAAATCTACTAATGGAGTACGTTTTATCTATGGTATAGGTGATGTAGTGTTAATTTGCTAATCAATTATTGTATAATAAATTACCTTATGAAACTGCTGAGTCTACTGAGTTGTTGTATAATACTGTTGCGACGCCGTGGTCGGCACAAACTGCATTGTATTCGTTATCTGACATCTAAATTTGTCAACAACCAACAGTGCTCGCGAATGTTGCATAAGGAGCGACAATTTGTGAAATCAATTTATTATGAACCGTTCTGATTAAAAAGCATGAAATGACGACAATTTACGCCAATCTTCAACTTTCGTTGCCAATTACTGTTCAATACGGGAATAGACTCAATACATCTCAATAAATATTGGAAATAATTAGGGGAAGTTCAGGCTCTTCAATAGATGTCTTGAAATATACAAGAAACCCTCATTTATGTTTGATCTGGATCATAAGTTGGCAACGAACGTTGAAAGCTAATACAAAACGAATCTCTAGCAGCTCAGAGGTTAGACTCTATCCTTTAAACCGAAGGTTGGTCGGTTCCCCTGAAAAAGGAGGGTATAGTGTTTGAATTCCAGATTCAGTTGTCATTAAATATGAGTATTGATCACATGTCATCTTTTGCATCTGGTTAAAAAGTATCAAGCATGGATTTCGACGAGTTTCAAGCAAAATCTGTTTGAAATGTGAAAGAATTTTTCTGTCAAAAATAGTAAACTCGGAAATGAATAAACATTTTCTTCGGTTGGTTCTTCTCTAGCAAAGCAATTCTTGTCCTACATCAATAAGCCTCTCAGCAAGTACAGAACTACTAGAAGACAAATGTTTAACCATCACTGAGCACCTCTTTAATGTTCCAATAAATCCCCCATGGAAGTTTTTCATGTGAATTGTATCTTGATGTTTGTCTTGATGTTTCTGAACTCACGTGGAGCTGAAGATCTACCTATTTAAGAAACATAAGTAGGATAAGTCCTCTAGATTTCTGTTTTGGAAAACTGCTTCTACAAAACGGGAGTCACCGCTTGAAATGCAGCGCGTATCAACTTCCGCGATCCTGAACTGGGCTATTGCCAATGAATTTCACCTGAGCCTTCCGATGGCTACAATGGACACCCGAGGTGGAGGGCTGAACTGACACGACCCTCTTGCACGACTGAGGCAGACTGACTGCGCAACAATCTTAGCTGATTATGAAACCCCGACACTCACACTCTACAGTCTACCTGTCACTGGTCAGCAGCTTGATAGCGCTGTGAATGCCAATACAATCTCTCAGTCCCAAAAGTGCCCATTGTTAGCTCGCCAGTCTATCGATATGGGGCTCGGCTGGTCTAGTTGGAGTGCAAACTTCTGTCATGGAGACCCTGTAACAAATCTTGCCAAACCAGTAAAAAATTGTTTGTGTCATTGCTTGATGGTTCGGAATCCACCTTAAGTTTTAGAACCGATTCCAGTGATTTAGAATGAGCTTTTCAGGCAAGAACCTTCGCGATGGAACAGAAAGTTCAAAACCTCAAGAGCTACACAGAACTTGGAGATATGAAAGTATATCCTATTTTGTTGGAGTAAGGCTGAAAACATTTGCTACATTCTCGACCCCCTAAATTCCAGAAACAATAAATTAACTGATGCCATATAATTTTAACATCGCCTACAATATGGTATAACGTTTGTGTGATCAAATGAATGATCATTTCAACCTTAATAATATGCGTAACTGTGGTTATGTGAGATACACACACATACTTGATGTACTAACTAACTACGTCATCATCATTGATGACGCTTGTGTTTTAGCAAGTTGAACTGCTTGGACACAAATTACTCAGCTATATTTTAGAGGTTAAGAAATTTTCCCGATAAGAAAATATGCCTTCCCTTGCCTCCATTGACGCCAGCTCACACCGTATGTCCCGCAATCAGAAGTAGCACAGCCCATATCTGCAGTTTAGAGGTTGAGCTAGAACACACACAATGTCAAGCCGTTATCGGAGCCGCAGGAAACGTCCGTGCTTCGCTGACCACCGTCTGGTCTACTGGACGCTCCAGTGAACGTCCATACATTGTCCTGTCAGCCCTTCCCTTGCCAATTAAACGGCAACTTAATCAAGAGGGCTTAGTTGCGAAGAAGCATTGTTGTTTGGCTTAGATGCCCATTGAGTAGTTGCCATGAAGCTACTAATTTGAATGTTTCAGTAGGATGCTGGAGTTTCATTCAAATCCTTTTCGTATAAAGGTTGGTTACGAAAGGTTAGTTAAGTTACGTTAGCTGCGAAGACACTGCATTGTTCATTAAGCCCATTCAGCCCTGAGTTTATTTATATCTTGATTCTTCAGTAGGTTTCATTTTTTTCGTTTATTACCTCTTCGTTGAAATGAAGCAAAGACATAGTTTGTTTTTGAAACCCATTTAGTGGGAATATCCCTGAGGTTTCTAATTTGAATGTTTCAGTAGGAATTTGGAAGACGCTTTTCGAATTCCCTTCATCTTAGCGGTTAGTCGTGGAGATCTTGCGTTGTTTATTATAACAACGTCTAACTTGTAAGCCCATAATGTGGGCAAATTTCTAAGGCTACTGTCAATTAGGCCTACAATGTTTTATTAGGGCTCTGAAAGGAGTTTTTTTTTTCAATCCTAAACGTATATTTAGGAGCAAAGACACTCAGTTGTTTGTTAAACCCATTGAATGGGCTTTCCCTCAGTTGCTACTGATTCGAATGTTTCATAGTAAAGAGTGTTTCAAACCTCCGTCGTCTAAATTTTCAGTTGCGTAGACACTGCATTACTTGTTAAGTAAATTGATACACTATTGCATACACATCTGCTTGTGTTAAATTTGTCACTGATGAGGTTCTAATTTGAACATTTCAGGGTTTTCTCATCGTGACTCAAGTCTGATAGGTCACTTTATACTGTAATTTGAAACAATTTTCGATGTTTGATTTATGTACAGCAAGCTTTAAGGGCTTCTACTAATAAACCACCTAATGTGTTGTATAATTTGATGCTTTTGTTGCAGATGTACTGTGCGGACATCCAGCAGTCCCTGTCAACGCTAAGGTGACACTAAGTTCCACAACGTTGGTACCAGGCACCACAGCCACTTACAGCTGTGACGTGGGCTACGAGTTCTTTGGGTAAGTCTCCTTGATATTTGGGTATACTTCCTAGATGCGTGTGTAAATATCGCTCATAAGTAGTGGAGTAGAAACTCTGTTAGTAATATGGTAAATGTTTGTCTGCACTTTAGTTTACGTCCTACAGTCGTTAGAATTATATATCGATTATTTCATTCGATGTATCAAGTTCGGTTAGTTCCTAACCTAATTAACCGAATGAAATAATCGATATATCGAATAATCTATATATCGATATTTTTCATTCAAATGAGTGTAGGACGTAAAACTAAAGTGCAGCCTGTCCTATAACTAACTTACTATAGCGATAATAACTTACTATACCTATAGTAGCTATAGTAAGTTCATTACCGGGTGGGTTACTTCGGTTCACAAATCTGACGAAGCAGCATAAATTTGGCCCTATAACTAAAGGACTAAGTTTCTGCAAAAACTAGATAGACTCTAGTTCTTAATTAGATTCTAACGAGTTAATACAGTGCACTTAATCACTGATTTGTTAGATTAGTTGTTATGCTTGATGATACAGTACAAGAAATTAAAAATGGGTAGATAATATTGTTAAAAGTGAAACGCCTAGGTACTTTTGAACTTAGGCACTATTGAAGAGTATTTAAGATCCCAGTCCAGTTTTAGAAAGAAAACAAAAACTAATGCTGTCTCCGAGTTCCAGACTGTTAATTATGAATTTTCGTCGTATACACAGACTTTTTAAACAATGCAAACTTGAAGAACTGTACCCTAAAGTGGATATAAACTGTAGCATTTCCTCACACATTTTTTTCTATAAATACTCTTATGACAAATGTTTGCTTATCCAGTATGTATATGTATGCTTACTTACACATAGATCTCGAAAACGGCTTCGACGATTTCCTTCCTATATAAATATTTTTTCTGGCCTAAAAACGTGATTGACGACCGCCACTACCTAGGTAAAATTCGTATTTCACTAGGCTACTGCTACACAACTCATTTTAAAATTTTAAAATTTAACATTAGTTTTGTGGGTTGCCAAGTAACTATGTTGGTTGAACAATATAACAAGGAAAAAGTAAACAAAAGGTTGTAACATGTGTTTATAACAAACCAGCCACAGTATACTAGCAAATACATACAGTACAAAGGAAAACATCAGTAAGGAGCAAAGATTACACTGAAGATTACTAGGCAAAATAGTACCGATCAAATACTGATTATTCTACTTGGCTCTCTCCTACAAAGACTTAATCCCCAAAGTACTGAGGCAATTATTGTTAGCAAACTTTGGTTTACCATTGAAATACAGTAAATGCCTATTTAATTCTACTTTATTATATTTATTTGATTTAAATTACAATTTAAACAAACTGTCAAAACAATGTTAATGCAAGTATAAGCTAATTATAAACGTGTCATTTTAACCATCGACTGTAAAATTGAAATTCCACTGAAACTTAAATAATAAAAGCCAAAATTAGTTTATGTAAATCAAACGTTAATTTCCTTTGGTTTTGAATTTACAACCGAAACAAACTATACCGAGCCTTAGCTCGGTCCCCCGGTACTTAGTGATATGAGAACGCGATGTCTCATATTACCATGGTACATGGCAGTTGTACTATAACCGGAGAAATAATTGTCTTAAAAGTTACTAATTGAAAACTGACTTCATCTCAATGAAGAGAATTACACTCTTTGTCTGACACCATATTAGTGTTGGAAGACAAACTTATGTAAATATTTGGGTCTGATTTGTCATTCGCAATTTGTTTGAATTGCGGCAATGTTGATGCTATTGTGATGCAAGATATACAATCAGGGACAATACAATGAGTTTATATTGTTAAGGCGGTTTTCATAATCCTAAACCGCTTGGCTGGCCAAGCAAACCTGCGTGATAAAGTTGTTTGAAACAATAAGAATAATACCCCCGCCGCAGCAAACCTGCAGACTTAGCGAATTTCCATTTCCCTGAATGGATTTACACTAAAATGTCTCCTTAAAAAAATCACATTTATTCCCTATTTAAATAGAATCAGTTTTACACAAACTTAGGTTTGCTGCAACAGGGAGGGTAAAAGTGTTTTTTATGTAAAATGTTAATAGTTAGTAAGAAATAAAAACATTTTCCAAATTTGGGCAAAATATGTTTATAAACAAGCAAACTACAACAGTTTACTTATTCTCTATAAGAATAACATGAGAATTTTAAATTTACAATTTTTTGGAATTTTCTCCGTAACCATTAGGCGCATTATAACTCTTCAATATACTAAATTATTTGTTTTTTAAAGCTCTACAAAATAGTTTAGAAAGAAATTGCAAAATTTTATGTTTTTGGGTCAAAAATTGGAAAAACCCATTTTTACCCCATAAAAGCCCCCATAAACCCCCGTTCCCATGGTCCGATCATGCTGGTTCGCGAACTCTTTCGAATAAACGTAGGTTTACACGTTTGTACCAAATTTAATCAAAATCGGATCATTTTTGCTCGAGTTATCGCGCTAACGGACACACACACACATATATAAATATATACAGACTGTCCCAAAAGTCCCGGACCGGTTTAATATTTTCTAAACGACAACAGATAAATCAACAAGATTTGGTACATCAACATCACACCTAAAAATCTACTTTTTTATGGAAATATAAATTTTCTGTCACATCATGGGGACGTCCCGCAAGGAGTCAGAAGGAAATCTTAAATAGAAGCATAGGTTGACATGTACATCAGATTAAAGGTCTTTACTAGCAGAATATAATGCTGCAAATTTAAACTCAAACGGACAACCAAGTCAAGAGTAACAGTGGTTCAAAGATTCATTTAATTTGCATTTGGGGGCAGAGCCCTAGGAGTCAGAACATTTTTGTTAGCGTAAGCATAGGTCGATATGCACATCAAATTAAAGGTCTTCACTAGTAGATTACAATGCCGTAAATTCAAGCTCAAAAGAACGCCTGAGTAAAAAATGGCAGTCGTTCAAAGATTCAAAATGGCAGGTTCAAGAAATCTTTGAACGGCCGCCATTTTGTAACGGGTGATCCTTTCGAGGCGCGGTTTCCGGCATTGAACTCTGCTAGCTAAGCCCTTTAAACTGATGTGCATATTGACCTATGCTCCTATTTAAGATTTCCTTCTGACTCCTCGTGAGACGTCCCCATGATATGACAGAAAACTGATAGTTCCTTAAAAAAGTATATTTTTTAGTGTGGTGTTAATGTGCAAAATTTTATTGATTTATCTGTTGTCGTTTAGGAAATATTAAACCGGTCCGGGACTTTTGGGACAGTCTGTATATATATATATATATGAATTTAAACGGATGGTGTTTTTGGCCTCTAGGGACCTCAAAACGAAAAAAAAAATCGGTCCCGGGTCCAGGTCTTACCGTGAGTACTACGGTAATAGCTTATTCCCTATATATGGGAAATTCGCTAAAATGAGAATGGGGTTAGGTACCTAATATTTTATTTGAATCCAAACACCACATAAAAATGTAGGTTTACTGTATTTACTATTTGTGTATCTAGTATCAACGCTAGAAAAAATACGTTTTGTGGAGTGATTTTGGATCAAAAAGACTATAGTGGTAACATAAATAATCGTCAGCTAATTCGTAAGGGCAGTAAATCTACATGGAAGTATATTGAAACAATGTAAAATTTTATTTAGAAATCGTCTTGAAACTACGAGTTCATACCTAAATAGAAATAGATACATATTATAAAGTGTACTTGTTTCATAACAGTGCCAGTAACCTTTGTATCCATTTTATTCCACGACATTGGCGTATTTTTTTGCGTTTTCTGTAATCGAACGGTCCAAATACAAGTCTACAACGTCGATATTATTATTGCGGCTTTGCTAAATTATTAATTTTATCAGTTGTTTTACACTTTTTAAATAGCCTAATGAAGGTATGGTTATGCAAAAGCACCAAGTTTTGGACACAGTTCACGTTCAAGATTAAGTACAGAAACTTCGCTGTATTCAGAGTTTGAACTTTTCTATGTCTCATTGTCTCTGTATTTTTGTCCAATGGATCCGCTGTGGGGAAAAGTGCTAATTAGGGTTTTCTTTGGGGAAATGTCTGTCAGGAAAGTCACAGGGCTATACATTGTTGGAAGACCTAGGTTACTGAAGAAGAGTACCAAAAAAATCAAAATAATAACTTAGGATCCACAATTTATTACAACACGCATTTAATATTTTACTAATTTAGTTTCTCTCAATACTACCAGCTATCTGTTGTTTTAGTGCTTGGTCATAGTGTTATTCGTATACACCCTAGATCTCCTTATACTGTCAATAACATTATATGTACTATAATAACATTAAACATGGCTCATTCCCTATATGGCAAATTCAGTAATGAATGTAAATTTTTTTGGGATGATTTAATTTCAAAACAAAAACAGAATTATTTTTATATTCTTTTAGGAGTAACCCTTTCCTTTCAAAGGTATGAATTTTGTCAAATTCTAATAGTTTCCATACCTACACACTAAAAACACTAAAATTTACAAATACAAACTAATGTATACGTTGCGACTTCTTTCGTTGCTTACACAATCTTCTGTCTTTAAACAAAAACAAAAGAATAGACAATAGTCTTCGTGAGTTTTTGTTTTGTTGGGAAACAGCCTTTTTGCTTTGTTCTTCTTTCAGTCAGTTATTGTTAACGTAAGCGCTGTTTGAACTTATTGACATTTTTTGCAAGGAAATAGTTCATATCCTGATCTTTTTCTCGTTGCTATCTGATGCTCTTTAGGAGTCTGCTAGTTCAATCCCAAGCTATTTGTAATTGGGCTTTCATTTCAATCAGTAATGCTAACAACTAGTGTTTTGGACCGCCTCCTCACAAAAAAATATAAAAAAATCACAGAAAATGGCAAACGATCGTATAAAATACTCAAATGTAAATTAATGTGAATTCAGCATGTTCGGTTAAAAGACTAAAGAAATATTGCGGTTGAGCCTAGAATCGATCCTTTCCTTATAGTATACAAAAATATAATGGTTATTTTTACAAAACGAGAATTAGCCGACTGACCCAGTCCAAGTGGAACCTACGTCCGCTATATTAACACACAAGCCTCAGGAATGTCGGGATGACCAGTTCAAGTCCGACCAAGTTCAAGTTCGCAGCTTAGTCACCTGCTATCGGTAACCTGGTCAACCGGAGGCGCGACTTTCTCCCGCCCTTTCGCGAACGGCACCAGCTGATCTGACAGATGATTAGAGAGTAAGAAGAAATACAGTAGTAGTCGACATACTGATGGAAAATAGAACAGAAACGGTGTAGATCATGAACATAAACTAATGCCGTCACTTGATTGATTGTAAATTAAATGCAACAGCTGGTACTGTTTTATATTTTGTACCTATGTCAAATGATATTGTCATTTCAATAATAAACTTTATTTTCTTTTGGGCCAGTGACGTCTTTTGGGTTTACTGAATTAAATTGTACTTTCTTGTTTAACTTGAAACATTTGGTTTCAGAAATGAGATCTCGAGATGTAACGACAAAGGAAAATGGGAAGGCGAGCTGCCGTTTTGTGGTAAGTTTACATCTACCTTATAAATAAATAGCCTATGTGAAAATATATACAAACACGCTGAGCTGAACATTTGATATTAACAAGAATAACCTCAACTATCCAAAGGGGAGGTAAAAGACTACTATGAAATCCAATCTTGCAAAACATTGATTCAAAACGTGGCATTAATTTAAATATCCTAAATATAAATGTATCACTTGTAGAATATGGAATACCGGTAGTTTAGTTTACAAGTAAGTAGTAAAATTACAGCAAACGCCCATCACCATTCATACAACAAGCCCAAAACTAATAAAAATCTTGACGATGTGAAAAATGTTTGAGTTGATATATTTTAAACATTATATGACATTGCAGAAAGATTGAATGCAAATTCACACAAGTCCAAATTAAAGCAAAAAATGATTATTTATAATTTACTTTAGTTAGGTATTGTATTCGTAATGTAGAATTTGACATCATGATTCGTGGCATCTATGGTCGAAACTACTTGTTGAAATAAATATTAATTTAAATGGGTTCTGATCTATATTTTATAGTGGTGAAAAATTAACTATCTCAGTTTCTAAACTCAAAACTCATAAACAAACACTCAGATCATAACTATCTACGAAACGCACAATTGGGCACGTTAACGTCGAAAACAAATTTATTGTGTTCAACGATTGGAAACATATAATTATGGGTAAAAGTCGCCACGAATGGCCTCCAGCAGTTGACAGGTTGTAAATAATTTCTCCAAACGGGGAAGGTCATGAAATTAGACATTTAGTGGATAGTAAAACTGTTAAGTAACTCTACTCTGGTGTTCCGTTTATAGAACGTGTTCATTAAGTTAAGTCATGTAACTTTCTGTAACATCAACACGTCAAATCTACTTGTGCAATAGGTTACTTCACTCTTTACTTCATTTCTGTAATATTTGGTTCAAGTTAGATTCGTTTTTAATTTGTGTGGGTAAAAATATATTTTAAAGATAAACATGCATTTCGGCATATTTTTTATCATTATCAAAGTTGTTTTTGATTATTAAGCTTATTTCGTTTATTTTTTGTGGATTAAAATGTACTAGTGTCCCTGTTGCTCGAATTCGAGCAATTGCTAATTATAACAGGCGTTATTTTAAAAGGAATAACTACCATAATTTCTGATAACTTTAAAAGATTCGACTCAAGGATTATGGAAATACTCAATATGTACATAACAGATCGATATAATCATCATTTCTTGTAAATATCTTATAATTTTTCAGAAGCTGATCTTGTTTATTTAGTGTATTCTACAAATAGCCTTACTCATAGCCACATTAGGTTGTCCATAATAAGGATTATAAATGGCATTAAAAAAACATTATTTCTATTTCTTCTCCTAGGTGGTGTTCTATGACTTGCCTATGTTTCCATGGTTTGCAAATCGGCTCTTTCAATGATTACTAAGAAATGCAGCACAGTGTTAACTCAGTTTTCTTTATAGTACAGTATATCAATTTATCCAGCCTCTCTGGTTTTTTCCATTGTAATATTTACGCCAACCCAAATTTAAAGGGTAAATATTTAACTTCAACCAAGTGAGTAAATGTCTGTAGCAAACTGTTCAATTAACAAACTTATTGACTGTTTACTGTTAACATATTCTTCTCACTTTTAATTTCTGACAGCAGCTGGAGTTTCATAACAATTTTTGTTTCCCATGTTAATCTTATGGAGAAATACGAAACTTAAAAGGGCCCCAGGGCCTCACTTTCTAATTATTTCCCTAAAAAGAAAGTTTCCTGCACAACTTCACGTTACGCTCTTTCCAATGACACCAAAAACATGTCAATCGGTTCAGTAGTTTCGGAGGAGTAATTGTCACAAAAAACCTGCTTGCGTATTAAATAAGTAATAGATTTACAAAGATTATAGATAGTTACAATAAAATTATTTCCTTGAGAGAAACGATTGTAATTTTTACATTTAATTCCAAAATTGCGTACAGTATTTAAAACTTAACCAGTGAACCTGGCACACGTATTCGTGGGCAATCTAGACAAACAATTTAATTAATTTCAAATTAATTAAATTTACAAGAATTAGTTAATTGAATCAAAGCAATACATTGCATATACAATTTATAGGCTACTCTACACCTAGTATTTCCCGAGTGAAAAAGTCCCTTAAGTGCTAAGTAAGATTTTCTAAGTTATTCTTAAAGAATAAACCCAGTCTTTAAGGATTTATGTTTATTAGTACAAGAATCTTCGTCCATTTAATAATTGACTTTTTATAAAATAAAATGAAAATAGTAAATAAGAGCTCACCCCGTGGTTGAAAACTCGACCAAAAGTATATATTGTGCAAACTTCTCTATTTTCACCCCACGCTGTAAATAAAACATGTGATTGGAATGTCTTCCATTTGTTTGGATTTTCTGTTTATATTTTGTTGGTTGTTATTTTGTCACAAGCATGGCAACCCATTAGACCCATGTTATTTTTTTTTAATTTTAAATTCATTTTTCCGCTTATTTTTTGGCCTATTTTCTATATGTACAGGGTGGCTGGTCATCAGTGTTACAAAATTTGTTTGGCGTAAGTACAAAGTAAATGCAGTGTAATGATGCATATAAAAGGTTCCAAGTCCAAAAATTAGCTTACCAAAGAATTATTTTATGTTTTTCAAAAATAACTATGTTTTCAAACTTAATATAGCTATTTCTCAATTACCGGTAAATGGATTTGAGTAGACAATGTCATTTTCGTGTTCTACATTAAATTTTGAATAAGAATAATAGAAAATGACGGAGGATCAGTTGTAAAAACTCCATTGTAAATAGATTCAAAGATAAAAATTAAGACGTTTCATAAAAATTTAAAAAACATTGGTCTATTGTATTTGTTCACACCCTGTATACAAGAAAGTGGCCGATTATGTTAAAAACTGCGCCATTTTATAAGCTTTCTAACCATATGCTACACTATTGAGGTTTAGATATCCTGTTGTTTGTTTTAGTGGTTTGAATACCAGAAAACAGGGTGTCTTTAACATTTAAAACATAGAAAGTCGGCATGTATTAAGCAAAAGTTGTATTTTTGTTTCAGCTCGAACAGTAAAAACAGTAAAAAAGTTCCCTGTTTTCTGGTATTCAAACCACTAAAACAAACAACAGAATATCTTAACCTCAATAGTGTAGCATATGGTTAGAAAGCTTATAAAATGGCGCAGTTTTTAACATAATCGGCCACTTTCTTGTATACAGGGTGTGAACAAATACAATAGACCAATGTTTTTTAAATTTGTATCAAACATCTTAATTTTTATCTTTGAATTTTATTTACAATGGGGTTTTTACAACTGATCCTCCGTCATTTTCTATTATTCTTATTCAAAATTTAATGTAGAACACAAAAATGACATTGTCTACTCAAATCCATTTACCGGTAATTGAGAAATAGCTGTATTAAGTTTGAAAACATAGTTATTTTTGAAAAACATAAAATAATTCTTTGGGAAGCTAATTTTTGGACTTGGAACCTTTTATATGCATCATTACACTGCATTTACTTTGTACTTACGCCAAAAAAATTTTGTAACACTGATGACCAGCCACCCTGTATATAAAAGGCAAAGCCCTCACTGACTGACTCACTCACTCATCACTAATTCTCCCACTTCCCATTTACCTAGGAGGCTGAAATTTGGTGATTCTTCAGGCATTAAATAGGAAAACTAAGTTGTTTTTATTCTGATCGGACTCTCAGGCTCCGCCCCAGTGGCTCTGGAGTTTCCCATGTTAACCTTATGAGTACTCATATTTAAATGGAATTAATGAATCTTAACTAACAGCTGTTTCAATTAAACAAGTTGGTTCTGTTCTATGATGTTCAATAGCATTAAAGTTACAAGGATTACCAACAGGGTGCAGCACTATTATTTTTTAGCGAATTTCCCTATAGGGAAGTAGCTATTACCGTAGGTCTCATGGTAAGACTTAGGCCCGGGACCAATTTACTTTTTCATTTTGATGCCCCCAGAGGCCAAAAACACCATTCGTTCAAATTTTTATATATATAGGTATATATATATATAGATTTATATATATATATATATGTGTCCGTGAACACGATAACTTGAGTAATTTTTATCCGATTTTGATGAAATTTGGTTTGAAGGTGTAAGGCGGGATAAACTTGAATGAGTTCGCGATCCAGCATGATCGGACCATGGGAACAGGGTTTTATGGGGGGTTTTATGGGGTAAAAATTGGTTTTTCTCACTTTTGACCCTCAAAACACAAACTTTCCCAATTTTTATCTAAACCTTCTTAAAGAGCTTAAAAAAACAAACAATTCAGTATATCAAAGTGTTTTTGTACGGTTATTGGTTACGGAGAAAACTAAAAAAATTGTAAATTTAAAATTCCCATGTTATTCTTATGGAGAATATTGTAAAATGTTGTAGTTTGTTGTTTATGGATATCTTTTGATCAAACTTGGCAAATATATTAATTTTCTACTAAGCAATAATTATTTTACTTAAAACACACACTTTATTAGTTTCCTTGTAGCAGCAAACCTAGGTACTCGTTAAACTTAATGTTATTTAAATAGATCGATTGAAAATCAATTCAGCCAAATGGAAATTCGCTTAGACGGCAGGTTTGCTGCGGCGGGGGTATGGTTTTATTTTAAATTTATGACAACAGCTAATTTGCAACCAAAAGGTGAGCGAGCGTAGCGAACGAACTTCAACCTGGAGGCGAGTTAGCGTAGCGAACGAGCTAACCTGAAGGAAAGTGAGCGCAGCGAACGAGCTCCAACCTAAAGGTGAGTGAGCGTAGCGAACGAACTTCAACCAGGACGTGATTGAGCCATGCGAACGAGCTCACTTATGAAGTAAAACGGGGCATAGCCCGCGGTACAACTAGTAATTAAAAGGATTCTGCACATCTACAGGAAAATATCTTTAATTTGGTACCAACCACGTGTAATTCGGTCCAGTAGTATGGTCAGGCTAGCTGTCACAAGTTTTGCAAAAGTTTTTTAGTAGGTACTGTATATAAGATTATTATAGTAAATGATTAAGCATGATTTTATTCATACTAGTGTCCCTGTTGCTCAAATTCGATCAATTACTGAGTATTACAGGCGTTATTTTAAAACAAATAACAGTCATAATTTCTGATGACTTTAAAAGATTCGACTCGACTCAAAGATTATGGAAATACTCAAGATGTACATAACAGATCAAACTTGAAAATATCTTATAATTTTTAAAAAAGCTTATCTTGTTTTTTTGTGTTTTCTACAAATAGCCTTAGTCATAGCCGCATTCGGTTGTCTATAATAACGATTATAAATTTAAAAAAAAATAAAAAAAAACATTATTTCTATTTATTTTCTTTGGTGGTGTTCTATGACTTTCCTATGTTTCCATAGTTTGCAAAACGGCTCTTTCAATGATTACTAAGAAATAAAGCACAGTGTTCTTAAGAAATTCAGTTTTCTTTTTAGTATATCAAATTATCCAGGCTCTCTCGCTTTTTTTCATAGTAATATTTACGCCAACCCCAATTTAAATAGTAAATATTTCCTTTCAACCAAGCCAGTAAATGTTTGTAGCAAACTGTTAAATTAGAAAACTTGTTGACTGTTTATAATTAACTTATGTTCTTCTCACTTTTAATTTCTGACAACAGCTGGAGTTTCATAACAATTTTTGTTTCCCATGTTAATCTTATGGAGAAATATGAAACTTTAAAGGGCCCCAGGGCCTCACTCTTTAATTATTTCCCTAAAAAGAAAGTTTCCTGCACAACTTCACGTTACGCTCTTTCCAATGACACCAAAGACATATCAATCGGTTCAGTAGTTTAGGAGGAGTAATTGTCACAAAAAACCTGCTTGCGTATTAAATAAGTATAGATTAGGCGGGTAAATGTAAATTTCTTTTTATTTGGAACTTGTTTGGATTATTTAAGTCACTTGAGGCTATTGGTGACTAGTTTGAGGAACCTGTTATTTGCCTGTTTGTGTGACAGAGCAACCAATTAACTACTTTTCTAGGGAAACTGCTTTATGAATTAATTAACTAAAACTTGATTGATTTCACCTTGAACTTTCATTATTTATTAGCAGAGATATTTTCATAGAGGCAAGAGCGATTCATTCAGTTTGCTGTTGTAAGCAAGTGAAGACGTAGGTTTATACAGGTGTTCATAAAGGGGCGTCACAAACTTCAGGGGCTGATAGTACTAATCAGTCTAAACAAAAAGTTCACATAAACATAGGTCGAAAAAAATGTTGTCTAGCCACTTAGCCACCATTTTTTCTACAAAACAATTTTAATTTATTATCTTAACAACTACCTATTCAAGCTACAGAAACCAAACCATTCAAGTTACACATTCATTTATTGTGTCAAGAGACAATTAGAAAAAAAATATGTATTTTCCTTTTTAAATAGCTTCTTGATCAGCATTGTACGTGTTATTAAATTTATGGAAAGTAAATAAAAGAAACGTCTGGTCTTATAACACTTAAAACATTTATTTACGCTTATACTGTTACTCACAAGACGGTAAATATACATAAAAGATGGTAAGTGGTGATTGATTTTGATTGGACACTCCAATCATCATCAGTCCCAATAGGCGAATGACTTCAAATGTTGTCCATAGATGGATCCTTAAAAGGTATGGAGTTCAGGAACACCCTGTGGCTGTATACTCTCATGAGGGAGTTAACCAAAGTTCATTTTTTCCACAGCTACCAATGTTGGGCTGCGTCGCCCGGCTAACCAGTCGACCACAGTGCGGGGAGGGTCAGCCGGCAACGCTAACGACGGCGACCTAGCCACGGTCCACGATGGTCGTCGCTGCTCCGAGACCATGAGGGAGGCTTCGCCCTGGTGGAGTGTGGACCTTCTGCGACCGTACCCCGTCAGCGCTGTGAGGATCACCACAAGGGGATGCTGTGGTAGGTGGACTTCATAGGAGGTTAGAACTTAGAAGGGTTAAAAAATAGGAAATCTGATTTGCAGGGTAGAAACTTGGAAAGATTCTAAAGGAACAACATAATTTCATGGTGAGGTAGCCTCTGGATAAAATTTAAGCTAGACCTGAGTCCTGAATGGTTTATGTTACCTGGCTTCGTCAAGTGATCCTTTTTTCAGTAGTTTACTACTATAGTTAGACCTTAAAGTCCATCATCAGGTAAAACAAAACATCGATGAAGTCATCTAAACGAATCTAACCAAATTGGTTAGATGACTTCATTGATGTTTTTGTTATATTATATTAATTTATCTTGTTTGCATATAAGAACCTTGGAATGATTTTTAAAGGATTTAAAGGGTAATTTACCTTTTTTAGGAAGTTAAAACCTTGAAAATATTCTTGGAAGATTCAAAGGAGTGACATTATTTTTTCAGGGTACAACCTTGGAATTTTTCAGTTAATTTTGATTTGTTTGCATCAGGAAGTAGCTCAACTAACTGATGTTTCTAGAAGGATTCTGTTGATTCTATCTTTTTTTGCCTTCCCTGCAGGTCAGCAGCCGCTACAAGATCTGGAGATCCGTGTTGGCAACAGCAGTTCTGATCTTCAGAGGAACCCTCTGTGTGCCTGGTACCCTGGCACTCTAGGTATGTCTCTTATTCCACTGACCATTATGTGTATTAACCTTATCATTGACTATAGATACTTGAGATTTTTAAAATCAATTATCAATCGTTTAGATGGGGATGCCACCTAGGTGCGTATTTTAACCCAAACATGAGTGAAGGATGAGTGTAGAATGGTGTGTGATGACCTGTGTAGCTTTGTTACTGACTAAGATCAGCGGTTTCATTAGTCAGGATCATTAAAGCCCAATGATCAGGAACAGCTGGGTCCAGTTTTGAACCATCAAAAAGCTACTGACTTTTCTCGGGATCAAACCGGCGACCTTTTGATTACCAGGCGAGCAATAGTAATATGATACGATACTTGAATAGACATACCACATCTATATCGACCCCGTCTGTAGTGGGTCTTTTTTCTCTTAAGGAACATTTCAATGAGCATGTCATAGAGTCTTAAATTATCCAATCTTCGGATATCCGACTTTCTATATTATCCGACACTGACTGCAGAGGGTTTAGTGTGAAATTGTGTGCTATTTTTGTGTGTTATGACGTACATTGCACCTATAAGCACACAGTTCCTTGACTCCACATAATAACTTACTTCTCTTCTACCCACAAGTATTGTTCACAGTGAAAAGAGACATGTGGCTTAAAAGAAAATATATTGCTCTGCTCTATCATATACTTTACAGTCAAAGCTGTGGTGTTTTTACTTTGTTGGTTGTTATCACCTATGTTATTCAAGATGAAGGCGTCAACATGGAAAGATATAATGGTTTCAATAGAAGACTATTAAAATTCTTGAATAGGTTTGACAGCAGAGGAACTTAATAAGAGTTTTAAAATTTGCAATGATATGTCAGTATTCTGCATCCCCATGATGATAGCTAAAAAATATTATGTGATTAAAATTTTACTTTTAATTCTAAACTGGCTAAAACTTAATATAATTTCATTTTTCCTGGCAGAGGAGGGCATCACCAAAGTGTTCCAATGCGCTCGCACTCTGATTGGTCAGCATGTGTTCATACAACTGGTCGGAGTCGAGGGGTCTCTGTCGATGTGTGAAGTGGAGGTCTTCAGCACTGATGGTGAGATATTATTAATTAAATAAGTATCGGGACACCGAGCTTTGCTCGGATTGAATAAGACAAATCCGCTGACATGGCAACTCTATAAGTTTGAGGAGTTGAGGTGCGTTGACGTCCTTCCAAACGTCAAGCAGCGATTTGTCGACGCTCCTGCTCAAGATGATTGGCTCGGTCATAATTTTGCTGAGCCATAAAATATGAAATTTTTATTCTACTTCTACTCTTTGATTCGCGACTTTTCCGAGGTTCTGAGACATTCGATAAGATGTATGAGCTGTTTTGAACTGGCTCAGTTGTAGACGAAGAGGTCAAATTTGTTTCCCGGCGATCGATAGTAGCTTCTTGCCTTTGCAAATTATGTATATAGCTTTCCTTCTTAGGTCTTTCGCGTTTAATTTTGATCTTGAAAATTTACCTTGAAAATATTAAACACTATACCTAGTAAACCAAACTAAATATAACTAGCCTATTCGTTAAAAAGCTTGGTCCAAACTAAAGAATATAATTATTTTTGTTTACACATCAAATCAAAATTTGTATTTTCTATGATTTGTAGGTAAAGTAGCCTGAATCAGATGTTTCGGTTAACTGCAGCTAATAAATGTATTGACGATAACATGGGCACTTTCAAGGGCTATAGGACGGAAACTGGATTTTTACCAGCCTTGTGACTAACTCCAATCAATTTCTCAAGGCCAAATACCTCAGATAAAAAAAATCAAATATCCTCGGACAAAAAAAGTTTGCCCTGCTTGTTTTAGAGTATAGGATTGTATTTTTAAATACAAATTATTATGGAGAAGACCGGTCTAATGAGGGTGCACAATAAGCTGTTCTAGCTGCGATGCAATCCCATGGTTACTTGAAGCCTGGCCCTCTATTAAAAAAAAAAGAAAAAAAGTCTAATGGTGTTGTGGAGCTACTTTTTCCAATAATCCTATATATTAATCCTATAAAGATAACATGCCGAACAGACAACAGTGAACTTGCCCATACTGGACAATTTACGACTACTCCACTGTAGAAGATTTAGAAGGGAGTTAAGGAGAATGGGCTTAGGGGTGAGGTGTTAGACTCTCACTGAAACACTCTGAGAACATTTTCAGCCTTACTAATCACTGACTCTAAAACCGTGCACACTTAAACGTATTCTCTGATCCTACTCTTCTGTGTTTAGTATGCAAAATGTTGTTAATTAGATAAATACAAGCTTCTACCTTTGCTTCCCAATAGGAGAGGACGTGGAAAGGAATGTTGTTTTTAAGTCCTGCAAGAAATAGTCAATTTTTATAAACCAATCTTAATTTTACTGCTTAGTTTGGTAAATTTTTTTTTTTTTGGGAAGGAGTTTGAAATTTTTTTCATAACCTAGTATGGTGTAAAAGAGGCACTGATGTGTTTTAAAATATGCCATAACTATTTTATGTGATTTGAAAAGATATCTTAAAATATTGTAGACTATTGCTTACATTTAAAACCCTACTTATATGTATTTTTTAAGTCAATAGATCCAAAAGAATCCAACAACTCCATCTTAATAATGTTATGTAACAGTACTGAAACCAGCAATGCTAATTTGTTTGTGTTTAGTTTAAAAACTATATTAAAAACTATCAGTATTTTTTTTTATTACTGTTTGAGTAGACTAAAAAGTCAATGGACTCAAGGTTACAAATCACAAAGGGTTTTCTATTTTAATCTTAAATAATGAACAAGTTTATATCGTTTCAAAAACTTGGAGTTTTGCCTACTTTGGTATCATTTTATTTTTATTTTATGTAACAATGTATCAGTTTTTGTTCATGGTCTTATTGTAAATGATTCAGATTGATCACTTACTAGAATTAGGACCATGTGACATAATTATAAAATAAACATAAAACATAATTTTATTGTTTGTTTAAACAACAGTTTTATGAACAAGTAATGAGTTTACATAAAAAAAATCAATGAAACATTAAAGTAAAACATTGGTATATGTTGATTGTAGCTTACAAGTTACAATACTTATACCAAAATCAAACTGACAAAAATGTGAAACTTAACAACAATGATATTTTACAGAGTTCTCCAACGACCGTTGTGCGCCTGCTGGGGTAGGGCAAGATGTCGAGCTTGTTGCTTTTGACCGAACGTGTTACGAGTTTAACGTCGGTCGTGGAAGCTCTTTTGAAGACGCAAGAACACAATGTCGTAAGCACGGTGGTGATCTAGCTCACGGCTTGCAAGGCGTCCACAACATATTTCTGTTGGCGGAACTGGAAAGGCGAAAGAGCAGTTTGAAAACACAACTCGTCTGGATAGGAGCGCAGAAAGAACCGAGTTTTACATCTCACACGTGGAAATGGGTTGATGGTAAGAGTTACAGTTTATGTTTATTTAAATCATTCTTTTACATTTTAAATTTTTTATGAGATGTTACAGAAGATTTTTTCCACTGTCAATAGCACCTAAGATTCAAATGCTGAACTCTTATAGATGAGTGAACGCAGTGATTTTAAATTTTTTTAAGTCATGTTCAAACAAAACACTATTTCTGTTTATTGTTTTACTGATTCTTGTTATACTGAGCACAACGTTGTTGAAACAAAAAAGGGAGTAATGGTGGAGGATAGAGAAAGGAGAGAGTAGTCAGAATCCGTCAGGTTTTAGTTTTAACAACATAAATTAGTTAATGAAGAATTAGCTAGTGTGTTTAAGCATCCGGTTTTCTTCATAGACCTCAATCTCTCTGCAATATTATTGCAAGAGTATTCAGGGCTTTCCCTTCCAGCTGTTTATTCAATTAATTTCTAACTACTTCATTGCTATGTTCATCTCTCATCTAATTTTTATTTATGGGCATAAATATAGTAAATTAAATATTATTAGAGATTTTTCAACTTGAAGCATGGGCTGTATGTTACGTTTTAAGCTAAAAGAACCTCCTTTTTTTTAAACTATATTAACATTAACTATGTATATTTGATGTTGATAACTGATAGTGATAACCCTCAAGGACAAAAAGCTTTATTTTTTATACTAGCAGTTATCTGTATAATATTAAACTTCCTATTTGGCCAGATATTTAATGGTCTTGAATTTATATTTAATTTAATTTAATTGAGACTCACCTACTGATGTAAACTCCTCAACCAAAAGTTAAAAAACTTCAAAAACCTTTGTTTATGAAATTGATATATTGATTTGTAAAATCTGTTTCAACAATTCAAAATACACTCAAATTGACCCCTGAAAGTTTGGTTCAAATAACTAATTGGTAACAAATTGGAATTACAAAGCTGTAACAGTTTAAACAGATTAACCATAAAACTCCATTGAATCATTTCAACATCAATTTTTTTATCTGTATCTTAGCTTTTATTTCTCCGTAGGTGCGGTGGTGACAAAGCCCGCGTGGGGTAAGGATCAACCAAACAACTACAACGGAGAACAGAACTGTGTTGTGTTGGACGGAGGACGGAACTGGCTGTGGAACGATGTCGGCTGCAACCTCGACTACCTCCATTGGATCTGCCAATACAGTAAGATATACAAACTCTACGAGTGGTAGTGACATTTATAATATCACTAAACAAACACTTAACTCTGGTCTTTTACTTAATAAAATAAGCAGAAGCATCATTAATAAAATAAAGTGTTATGACAAATGGCAAATGGATCTAGAATCAACTATTATCATATTCTTCTCAAAGAAAGGGAGTACAAACTTGACATAGAATTTGAGCTTACCATACATAATTGATAATCGTAATCAGTCAAATTATATAATGCCAACTGAATTCAGAACTAATTCATGTTATTATAATTTCATATTTTTGTAACAAATGAGGCACAAACTTGACATCGAATTGGACTCTTTAAGCTTGATTTAGAAAGTTAGTAATAAAATGCAATAAAATTTGTACCGTACTTGATACAAACAACTTTGTCCAATCTAAAATCCACCATGAAATAGGTTTTTATACTCATAAACAACGAGGAATTAAAATATTAAAAATGTATTAAAATATCTTCCATTTGCAGATATGTGTCTTAAATAGAGACTGTAAATATGTCAACTTGTGCTGATTAGGATTACCAAACCATCTCAAATAATGATAAAATTACAGTACAAAGCTTTGTGTCCGTCAATTTTTTTTATATGTAAACTACTAAAACTAGATGATACTGAAAAATTGGTTTTTAAGGTAATTTCAATCTTTTGACTCAAATTATGGATGATAGGATCAAGTTTTGTAACAAATGTTTAGGTACCTATTACTTTCTGGACCATGGTCAGGAAACAGGGTCAATTTGTTTTGAAACCTGAGTTTCAACCGAGCTATGAAATTATACTGAAGCAATGAGTTTGAGGTAGATGAAATACAAGAGAACAACCTGCGATCAACCTATTATTATCTGAAGGCTGATACTTATTACCCCAGTAATACTTTCGCTACTAGATAGTGGATCAGCAATTTTGAGTAATGTTGAAAGCATTGATATGTCATATCAGTCATAATGCCTTATTTAGTTAAAGAACCATAGTGAAAAAAATGACACCATTGGTATACTTTAGACTTTAGATGTTGATACAATAAATTGCTATTTAAAATACATGCATTTGGGGGTAACAACAATAAAAATTTAAAAATTATAAAATAGACTGAACTAAAACAGAGACGACACTATTGGGTTCCTTGGGTAAAGAGAACGACCCTTTTCCAATAATTTCATTAGTGTGTGTGTGTGTGTGTGAGTGGGTAATTTTGCTAACAACTTTGAAATCTAGCTTATTTTTTCTTAAATATTTCTTAATGTGCAATATGTTTTTCTTTTTACCTTATAATCATATTTGCCGCTTAATTTAAGTTTCTTTAAATGTATTCTAATCAATCCAACATATTTCATTGCTTAAAAAAATTAAATTCTTTTAGTAAATTAACGAAATCGCAATAAAATGTAGGTAGTGTTAGTGAACTCATAGTCTAAGAGAATTTCTATTGGGATCCTAACATTATGCAGAGACAAAAAGCTACATCAATCTGTGCTACACAAACAAATAATTGTTCAGCTCCAGTCAGCTGTGGCAGTCCAGACAAGCAGCTCAACACCACCATCAAGGGTACAGACTACACGACAGGCAAGACTATCAGCTACGTTTGTCCCGAGGGTCACATGTTGGTGGGCAACGCTAACAGAACGTGTCAACAGACTGGCTTCTGGGCTGGCATGGCACCTTCTTGTAGATGTGAGTGTTTACGAGTAGTGGTTGAAACATCAACTTTGGATACTGAAATAGACGTCCCATCTATATTGATCAGCTGTTGATAATTTTTTTTTTTTTTAAGAAAAATGTAGTTGAGCGAGCCAGTTACAGATTGTGCTGGTGTTAATAAGTCATCCTATCAGTTTGATTTGGCGATGTGCAATAGAAATCAGTAATTTACATTAGCGCAAGTGGCTCACTTCAACTATGTGTCCATTATTTTAAAACTGGCACCAACTTTAACATGAGAATGGAATTTCTAGTTCTGTCATGTCCGATCAATAATCAAAGTTACAAGTGAAGGATTTTGGAGTCTGTGTTTTAGTGTAATGAAATAATATTTAAAAGGGTTGTAGAATATGGTTTTACCGTCAACGTCTTTGCTACTGAGTTGCTACCATTATAGCAAGATTTAATATTTTCCAGATGTGGATTGTGGCAGTTTGGATGCCCCAGAGAATGGAGCTGTGACTCTTGTAAACAAACGGACGACGCACGGAGCTGAGGCTACTTACACTTGCAGCACCAACTACACTCTTGCTGGGGACAGCAAACGTACATGTGGGGACAATGGGACATGGACAGGGGCTACCCCTCAATGTCTCTGTAAGTATCTCACATTCTCTTCTGTTCCAGCTGTAAGTTATATTCTTGGCTCCATTGACTATATGCCTTTGTATCTTCTCCAGCCCCTTCACAGTTTTCCTTATCACCATCTGTAATTGCTCCCCTATTTTCTTTACACTCCTCTTCACCTCATGTATCCATCTTCCTCCAGGTCTTTCCATTGGTTCCCTCCCCTCTATTGCCATCACATTTCCCTACGGTTTCTATTATTTTTTTAAAACTGTTTCGGTGCAGAATGTTTCCCACCTATTTGGAAAAATAAACAAAACAATGTGTGCTTACTTCGTCTAAAATACCAGAAGACCTATGATCATGATAAATTTATATTTATTAGTTTAAAACTTATTAAGTTTTTGAAACTACATAATAGTTGAACTATGGCTTAAGAGAACAGTTTTAGCAGAATTTGCCAACGTTGAATTAATCTTTTTATTCTTATTGTCTTGTTAATTTGATCTTAGTCCCTCCAATTAACATTTTCTTATGTTTATGTATTGTAGTGTCATATAGTTTATAATTATTCTTGCCAACTAAAATTGGTTTGTCCTGGGGAGTGGGCAAAAATTCTATTTTTCCTTCCCTTGGGGCTTGTCCAATGTCTGGGTCACAAACTAATTAGACAAGAACATAAGACATTAATGACAGCGTCTTACATAGTCACTTTATTTATTTAGTCACTTTTTATTTGTTTAGTTGACTGGTGTCCTGAGCCACCTCGAGGGGAGGGTGTGATGGTGAATGTGTCAGGCAAACGTGTTGGATCTGTTGCTACCTACACCTGCCAGCCTGGCTTTATACTGTTTGGACAAAGAGTGAGTTGACACATCTAGTGAGGATGGTTCTATTTAACTTCTACTATACCGTATTCAAGTATAAAAACCACCTTTCTTGTTAGATATGAAAAAGATGGCATTCATCTACTCTGAAAAAAGTATTTTATTTTCTCTTCTCAAGAAGACTTAAGTTAAATTTAACTTATCTTAATTAGTGGTAACTTACCGTTAAAAGCATTTATAATTTGTAGGATAAGGAGTTGTGAGTAGGTAACAACCTAGAACGATGGATTTTAAAACATAGAAGAAGCTAAGTAATTAGTAGGGGAATTATTGAAAACATTGAGACTGAAAAATTTTAAAGAAATAATTTGAATCTTAGATTATTTTAAGATTCACACACCAATGTATGGAGAAGGTAAAAATTCATGTGAAATCAAAACATTGGAGTTGTTTTCCAATTTATTAATTTACAAACTCACTGCCAGATAAACACCATCACTATCCAATTTTTGCAAAGCATAAAACTATTATTTTCATTTTCAATCTCAACTCAATATATAACTTTCCTACAACCCTTTAGCTAGTGCTATGTTTATAAGAGGAGAGATAAAAAAACTTAAAATTTCAACCACCATACCATTTTTTTACTAGGAGCTTACATGTGGACCAGGGGGTGAATGGTCAGGGAAGGCGCCGAGCTGCAAGTTTGTAGACTGTCGTGAGCCACCCAACGTAGACAATGGACAATACCGACTGTTGAACGGCACAACAACCCACGGCTCAGTGGTGGAGTACAGCTGTGACGCAGATCATTGGCTCGAGCCACCGGAGCGAGCTAGACTCACTTGCATGAGGGACGCTAAGTGGTCAGCCGACCCTCCTACATGCGAATGTGAGTTGTGTGGTTCTACAGATTCGTTTTAGCAAGTCGTTCATATATTTAATTTTTATATCCAAAATTAATAATTATATAAAACCTTTAGGGTGGAAAAATAGTCCCAGGACAGTTAAATATATTTTAAAAAATTAATAAAGAGAGAGCTACAAAACTTACAAAAGTTACAGGGCACAAAAAAAGTGTTAAAACATTATTCAATGATACACTTAATAGTGTTGTACTACCAAGGCAGTTTTACTACCTTGTTAGGGGGACTCTAGGAGTCAGGAGAAAATCCTAAATGTAAGCATATGTTGATATGCACATAAAACTAAAGCTCCTTGTAAGTAAAATACAATGGCGCAAACCCACTCAAACGGACAACTGAGTAAAAAATGGGAGCAGTTCAAAGATTGTAAACTGAAATTTCAAGAAATCTTTGAACAGCAGTCTCATTTTTTACTCAGTTGTTCTTTTAACCTCAAAACTTTTTTATAGCCCCATGATCTCTTGGGGGGGAAGAGAGGATATTTGTCTATCATTTTGAGTTTTACTTATATTGTAACCAACCCTGTCCCAATATTTTTTTCAATAACATTTGAACAGTATATTGCAGCCTTTAACTATTTGATTGTTTACATCAAATCATTGAAACAGAGTGGTTGTTACAGTGGTCACCTGTCCTGAGCCGGAGGTGCCAGACGACGGGTTCGTGGTAGGCTATGACTTCAACATCCACTCCACCATAGAGTACCATTGTGAGCCGGGACATCTGCTGCAAGGCAAGAACTCTCTGGAGTGTACTGCTCAAGGAGAGTGGAATGATGAACCCCCTACCTGTCAGTGTGAGTATGAGGGGATACAACGTGATTTAGTGGAGTACAGACATAGATAGTTGTTATTTCAATGGCAAAAATACAAAAGTTTTCGTTAGTAGTAACTTATCAACTGATATATACTAAGTTGAGGGAGACACTAACAGGAAAGACACTTTTGTCTTGTGATAGTAGACTCCCTCTTATCTGGACACCTCGGGACCAAGGCCAGTCAGGATAACGGGTTTTCCGGTTTCGGTTTAACCGACGTCCCCAAAAACTTGTTAAAACGGACCGTTTAAACACATACTGTGTACAGAAATTGACTTAAAATTTTGAGAGCATTGTATTTAGAAACGTGATCACGGTCTCAAATCTTGTTCACGAGAACAGTCGTTTCAGTACCGCCCACTTCCTGCCGATCTAGTCCGGTTAAACCGATGTGCTGATAAAAATTGTCTGGTTAAAGAGATGTAATTTCCGCCGAGTGTAGTCCAGTTAAACCGATGTCCGGTTAAAAGGTGTCAGGATAAGAGGGAGTCTACTGTAATCTAAAATAATGCTGCCTACTCAACTGGACGTATTTTAACCTGAAAATGATTTAATGATGAGTGTAAGTCGAAGTAAAATGACTTGTGTATGTTACTGGATAAGACAATCTGTTTCTATTTCCACTCATGAATTAAATAAATAATTTTATGTAAAATTGCCACACAAACGCTAGATATTTTTTGCAGTTATCGACTGTGGTAAAGTTCAGCCGCTACCTTACGGTAACGTGGAATACATCAATGGAACGACCTACCTCAAAAGTGAGCTTAGCTACAGCTGTGTGCGTAACTACCGACTGGTCGGACAGTCTCGTCGTCGCTGTCTCACCACCAAACAGTGGAGTGAGTCTTCCCCTCGGTGCGAAGGTCAGATAATTGATGTAATAGATACTTATTTTTGTTAGAGAAAGTGCATCTTTAAGTTTATAATCATCATAAAGTAATATCAGCCTGCTCGATGAAAAGACAGAAATGACAATGTCTACCTCCATTTAAATTAATGAGTTAATTTGTTGTATTTTATTAAGATAACTACAAGTTTGAGTTGTTTGAGTTGTATTAAGGTTGAATGGTTTAGGTTGTAGTGGAAATCAATTAGAAAACGTATTATTCACAACATTAAAACTTTTATCTAACTTGGTTATTATTTTGAATCAAAATTATTGTATGATTACAGATCAATATCAGACAGATTTGTACATGTTCCTATGATGTATTTAAACATTATCAGCAATCATCAGATTGTTTTCCAGTAATCACAGCTACTCAAGATGGAAAAAAATATGATTTTAAATTGAAACTTAGTTCTTCTTACAAGATGCCTACGATTTCAACATTTTTATCTGACAGATTTTATGTTAATTTTCTTCATCTTTACACTCATGTAATCTTCTAGTGTGTCTATGCTCAATATATGATCTGGCTTTATATTATATTCATGTGAAGGTTTGGTAAGTCAATATAAAAAAAATTGAGTTTTATTTTTTTCTAAAATTATATTCATCAAATTAACATTCTTATGTCCATTTTACTTCAAAACTTGACCAAAACCGCTGCTGTTTCCAGAAATACGCTGCCCAGAGCCCAAGTTAGCGGCTCACGCCATCCTGTCGGTGACCAACAATGACCGCATGTACGGCAGAACACTCATCCGCACAGCTGACTCTGCCGTGTCCGTGGCAACGTACAAGATTGGAGCGTTGGTCAAGTACCGATGTGAGAGAGGTTACAAGATAGTGGGTGACCCGCTAAGTACTTGCGAAGAGACAGGTCATTGGAGCGGGAACATTCCAGAGTGTGTCTGTGAGTATAGATATCAGATGTTAACACTGACCATAGACATAGATGGATTGATTTCTCCATATCTGCTGATGGAACTGCACATTCCATTCCCATGTTAAAGTTGTGCAGGGATTAAGCAGGTCTTCAGTCTCCAAAGTCCCAGACTCAAATCCAGCTTATCACTAACGGCTTTAGCTATGTGATTATTTTAGAAAGTTTTGTGATAGAGCCAATGTGAATGTGAATCGCTATTTCAACAAAAAGTATATTCAAAAAGAATACAAAGCCAACAAATTAACGCCAGTTTCAGAATGTACTTTCTTAAATTGAGCAACAGTGAGAAAGAGTATGCTAATGTAAATCACTAATTACTGTTGAACACACAAACCTTTCAACAAAATGAAACTGAAAGAACAACTTATCATAGGGTGTAATATATTTTATGTCTCAATATCTATCACAATAAAAAAGGGAGAATTTAGGAAATGGAGAAGAATAACTTGTTAAATGATTGGCAGTTGTTGACTGCGGAATGCCGACACCCCCACCTCATGGCCGTTTCTCTCTGGCGTCTAACGTCACATACTATGGGGCAGCTGTGCTGTACGAGTGTGAGGACAACTACGAACTGGACGGGTTCGCCAGAAGAATTTGTCTAGAGAACGGAACTTGGAGCTCAGAGACACCCTCTTGCAAAGGTAGTAAAATATCATTGACTTACCTTTAATTTAGTTGTGAAAATAATATATTATGTTCTAGAGTAACCATCCCAGACATGTATTTAAAACTCTCACTGACTTTTGTCCTGGTGCTGCAGAGATCCTATGTGCCGAGCCGGAGGTTGATGGCGTAGTGACCGTGAGGACGTCTACACACAGCATCGGCGGAGTGGCACACTACTCTTGTCCCCGGGGTACCACCATGGAAGGAAACTCCACCAGGATCTGTCTACAGAGGGGATCGTGGAGTGGACGAGTGCCGGAGTGCAATTGTAAGTGAAGGAGTGATTGTAAGAGGAGCGGTTATGTTGAAATCCTTTTTGGAATTTTGAAGAAAGGAAGTAATAAACAGTTGGACCCTCAAGGAAAACCCTTCCTACTTGCCCTATTTTCAAATATTCCCTATCAGGTGACTCACTCTGGTCTACCTTTAGTCATGTGACAGCCATTAGTGAATAAGGTTTACTTAGGTCAAAATTATGCTCTGGATAATCAAACAAAGGTTACAATCACTTAAAACTCTTTATTTCATCTATCAACCACTCCGTGGGTGTATATAAATTTATCTTTCATCTATGGGCTTTATTTCCATATTTGTTTAACCGTAGCTTCTAGCTTCCTCTCTTCTCCTTATCAAATGTCCTGTCAATCTCAGACATCTTCATAGCAACAACTTCTGTTGTTTGAAAGATCATCAGTTGTTAGCATGTATAAAAATATTTCTTTACTTAATGTTTCATTAACATTATGCAATTTCTATTTCAATTATCCATCCGACAATTGTAGGTAATCAAAAGGTAGAAAATATATTCAGGTGTTCTTTACAACATGATATGTTTCTGCAGATGTGGACTGCGGTGAGCCAGGGGGTATAGAGAACGGAAGAGTGATTGTTGTAAACCAGACGACCATCTTCAACAGCGTGGTGGAGTACCACTGTGTGCCGCAGTACCAGAGGATCGGGCCGTACCTGCGCAAATGTCTGGAGGACGGACGGTGGTCGGGGGAGGAACCTCGCTGTGAAAGTAAGATATTGAAATTGCAATGTATACAAACCTGATACACTACTGTACCATGCAGACTGCTGTCGCACACTTTGTTCAAAACATCCTCCAAGTTAAAAAGAATGACCTGGATCAGATAGTCTGATAGAAATGATCGGCAAGAAATCGAGTGAGCCCTGTGGGTGTAGGCACTCGGACGAGTTCTTATGAAGTGCGACAAGTGTTCCCAGGCTAATGTCCTAAAGTAGATGAGGTTCTTAGTGGGTAGTCTTAAATCCGTTGAAGTCTGACACTAGCCTGGTCACCTGGGTGTTTAAATAAATTGTCTGGCCTCTTCCTCAAAAATTAAAAAACAATACAATTGCAAGAGGAATGAGATCACAGAGGCTAAGGTGCTCATAGTTCTACTACTACTACTACTATACTTTGTTTACAATATTTAGCCGGTTTGAGGGGAAGCTACCCCACCACTTCTTTTGTATTTAATATATGTTGCTTAATCAGCTGTTGAGCTTTTATTTTAAAGGTAAGGGTCAAGTGGAGGGGATAGAGTTATTCCCTAAAACCGCCTAAATATTGTGAAGGAAGTATAATGCTAAGGTTATACTTCTTAACAAGGACCTATATTATCACACTATCACATAATGATAAGACACAAACATACTATATGTATTTTTAAGCTGAGTGAACAGAGGTGAGAGTAAATAAAAGCAGTAAGATGATCAGTGTGGCTTTGTAACTGACTATGTTATTAGCAGTTTCTTAAGCCAGGTTTATTTAAAAAATCCCAATGATAAAGGTCAGCTGGGTCCAGTTTCAAACCATCAAGCCTCTGACCCAGTAGTATCCAATATTAATTGGTAATGTAATGGATCGGTGTCTTGGTGCAGGGATTTAGTGATTTTGAAGATCCCTATTTAAGTCCTACTTTGCACATTTTCATGCATCCAAGACCTAATATTTTTTCCGTTCCAGTGGTCTCCAGTGCTCCGAGTGAGGGACAAAACCTAGGACTTGCCATCGGCATCGGCTCTGGATTTATTGTCTTTCTTCTCGTCATTCTTGGACTCATTTACCTCAGGCTGTGAGTATTGCAATGAGTATGAAAAACATTTTGGTTTTTATTTTTCATTTCAAAACAAATATAATTTCTTATCCTTACTTCTTGAGTCACTTTTATTGTAGGCCATATTTGGCACACTGTGATATAACGAGTGTAAATTACAATTATATTATTTCACTAGAAAGTCCTTCACCATACAGTAAACCATATGGTGTCCTTAACACGTTCCCTGCTACGGACGTTCGGAACGTCAGCCGGGCCACGGCGCCAGGAGCTAGGAACGTTCCAGAACGTCCCCGTTCATAGTTGTTTTAACGTTTCCATGGATCAGCCAGCTCGTCACGACTCACGAGCGTCCTATATTTCTTTGCAGCTCGTGGGGACGTACTTTTCTGACAATAAAAATATAGTTTCCCAAAATCACCACCAGGGTTGTTTAGAATAGGGCTTTGTCCCACCTCTTTCCTGCTAGATAGCGACACTACTTTACTGACTGCAGCCTGGGTAGTGCGGCTATCTATCAGAATCACTTAGTACTATGTCCAAAGCCAGTTTTATTGCAGAACATTGCCATCCAGTATAACTACTGTTGTTGTTACTGTAATTCAGTGTATCGGCGGCAATGTTTACGCAGCGGCGAGCGTTAGTTCAGCTCCTGGCGCCGTCCGTCATCTAGCGGTCAGCAGGGAACGTGTTAAAGAATTAGTTATTTACAGCTCATAGTAAAAAATCTGCTCACTGGGAAAAAGGGGGTTTTGGAACATTTGCATTACTGTTTAAAGTTAAGATTTGTTTTAATTAAAACAATTATGCTTGTGTAAGTGTCTATATTACAAGATGAAAATGAGTTTTCCTTTAATTTTAAAATTATTTTTTCAACTAATTATTATAAAATATATGATTGTTGTGATCATTATTTGATTTGTCAATTCCTCTTGGTAAAACTAATTTTATTTAAAATTGTAAACATACAAAATATTACTTTTATCTTTCTTTTTTCAATATATAATTTAATCTAAAATCATTTTTAAGCAAAGTACAAAATTTTTCTTATTCAACATCATTATTGTTCGCTCTTTCCAATAATTAAAATTATTTTCAACAGGAGAAAAGAAAGACCGGTCAAAAACACTGAGAACGTTGAAGGCGCTGTGCGAAAAGAAGAACAAAATGCTGCCGTGATGTCCTACGCAACTCTGAGCAACAATACCACCAACCACCACAACAACATTTACGACAACATTCACGACAATGAGGAAATGTACGACTCACCTTACGAACAGACGAGTCACTACGAGCCGTCACCGATCTCAAGACGTAGTAGCAAAGCGACGGTTACGATAAATGGAGTCGCCGTGAACTGAAACATGAAACAGTGATCAAAACACAAAGGCTGGTTCTGACTCTAATACAGAGTCTATAACTGAACAACATAAATAGCGATTAGCTTTAATGGTTTGTTAGTGAAACAACACATTTTATCTGTGATTTTTACAGATGGTATCAATTTTGTTGTGAATGATTTTATGACTTTTCAGTTAACTATTAGTATTATTGAACAATGTAAGGCCCTAAAGAGGATAGAAGATTTTATAAAAATGTTTCTCTAGATTAGTCAATTTGCTAAAATGTTTACAGTATTTGTTTTCTACTACTACCAGCATGCATTCAAGATATTTTTAATCAACGATGCTCAATCATAAGTAATGATAAAGACAAAATAATATGTTTAAAAAAAATATTTTTTATTTTTTTCAACTAGGAAACATTGCCACTAGAAATAGTATGTTGAACTAAATTTCTGCAAGTTTTGACATTTAAAAAACTTGAATTGTCACCAAATTATGTTAATTCTTAATTTTGTTAAAAGACATATTTTTATATACTAGACACATTTTGAACATAACTTGTTTTGTAACTTTACCTTTCTCTGTAACTTAAGCAACGATTTTGAAAATATGAGACACTTAACAAAATAGTAAATGGACCAAATAAATCTCGTGATCTACTTTTGTAACTGTAATTGAATATATTTATAAGTAATTGTAAAAGTGTATTTATGTATATTGTAGTTATGTGCTGTAAGAATGTTTTATAAAGCTGTATGGAAACTTCGTATGTAATTATGTACATATTAGGAGATAAAATTTTTATTTTAAGAGTATTTTAATTATTTTTTCAAACTACCCTTTTCCCAAAGTTACATTAATTCAATTATTATGACTACATTTTCTCCATCATCAAAATTATTCCTATCAATTCTTAAGTCAGTGCAAAGTGGTACATTCTGAATATGAATGCAACAGGTGAGTGTAGAATGGAATCAGCTGATCTGTGAAGATCAGCTGTTTCTTTAGCAAGGGCCATTTATTTAAAAAAAAACCCAAGGATCCAATGATCAAAGACAGCTGGGTAAAGTTCCAAACCATCAAAAAGCTACAGAATTTTCTCAGGATCAAAACAGTGCTCTACATCTTATGAAATATGAAAATGTGTTGTACGACTCACAAAAATCTACCCTTTGTGTAACTTCTCATCAGAAAGTCACTCGCTCTTTATTTTAGTTTGGCCTCTCCGATCCACCTAATCTGCAAGAGGCAGATGAAACCTCTCAAGTTTTGTACCAAGTATGTTTGTACACTGGATGCCCTATAGTGTATTTATTCCCAGTTTATCTCCTAGGTTACACAACTTGTTAGACATTCATGGTGTTCTATACTCCAACAATAACTCAAACAACTCATCTTGGAGGTGGGGCAAATAAGGTGTTAGTTATAGAATTAGCTAGAACCATAGTCAATGCTAGAACTCAAATATAAAGAACGATGTCTATTGTCTGTCACTTTCTTGATGGCAGAGTTAAAAGGGAAAGTTTTAACTCGGAAGAAACATTGTTATGTCCCTCATTCACTTCTTTATGAGGTGTAGTAAGAAAGCCATAACCATTTAAAAAGATTGGAGACTTGAAAAGCAATTTTCTCGCAGTCATAAACAATTCTTGAAAGTCTTAGTGTGAAGAAAAATGAGTTGGAAGTGTATGGCACAATCAGTAAAGAAAAATATCCAAAGTGAAAGTCTCCATCTGATTCAATATTTTTAAATCTACATTTATTAGTAAACTGTTCAAATAATGTTTTGAAAAAATGTATACAATTTTGAGTGTCTGAAATGGGTGAAAGGTTAGGAGAAAGCCAGAAAATTGGAAATTTGTCGGGTCTGACTTAGGGGAGGTACGAATGAGGCATTTAGTTCAAAATTCCTCCGTGAACAGCGCTGTAGTAGAGCGCACTTTGGCAATGAAGGTTTACTAATCGCAAAAATAGTTCTGTTCATAAAATAAAATTATAAATGTCTCAAATTCAATTTTATTGTTTTTTAATTATAAAATTAAACTATCATAACCTAACCGAACTAACCAAACTTGCTGATAAGGAAATAATATAACAAAAGTTTAGTAATCGGAAAAATAATTCTGTTTATTAAATAAAACTAGAATTTGCTCAATTAAAATGTTATAATGACTTAATAATAAAATTAAACTGTAATAACCGAACCAAACCAACCAAACTTGCTCATAATAAAAAAATCTTGGACAAAAAGTTAATGCAACCAGCAGGATTCGAACCCGGGTCCTACAGTATATCAGCCCGGCACGCTAACCATTAGACCACCGAGGCCGATGGCTACCGACCGTTTTGTTACGGTAATGGCGTTCCCTCAGCTAATAAGAAGCCCACAGCTGTCATCGTAGCCTCTTCTATACCTCCCCTGAGTAAATACCAAATTTGTCTTAGGTTGTTTATACATTTTGTTAAGTGTTTCAATGCCAGTATATTGTTAATGTTTTTTTTTGTTTTTTTTAGTCAATGTATAATTATTTACTATGCAGTTTAGTCCAAAATTTGTCAGTCTGATACAAAAAACTGTAACCAAATTTTAAACTGTATTACTATTACTATGAAAAACATTTGGACTCCTTGCAACTTTCTATATTTAAAATTAATGCAATTTGTACATACAAACCTGAAAGCACAAATGATACGTCAAATAACACTTATAATAATATATTTACACTTATACTGTTTACTCACAAGGCGTTAAATACATATAACATGATAAGGGGTATGGGTGGGGGATGATAAGGGGTGATCAATTTTGATTAAACACTCCAATCATCATCAGACCCAATAGACCCATCAAACATTCGCCTATGGGTCTGATGATGATTTGAGTGTTCAATCAAAATTGATCACCCCTCAGTTTTTAATTTGACAACACAATTAAAAATAAAGACCACATCAAATTCTTAGGTTTATAAATTGAAAAAAAAATGAAGTGTTGATCAGTTGATCTGTGAAGATCAGCTGTTTCTTTAGCAAGGGCCATTTAAAAAAAAAAAAACCAAGGATCCAATGATCAAAGACAGCTGGGTACAGTTCCAAACCATCAAAAAGATATTGATCAGTTGCTTCCTAAAATTTCATTTGGCCTTTATGCACTAACAAGATTAAAACCCCTATGTGAAAAGGAAACTTTAAAAATTATATATTTTTCATAAATACATTCAATCATATCATTTGGAACTTCACTTTATGGTGCAGCAAAAATGCTAATCAATTCTAAAAAAGCAAAAGAAAGCTGTTAGAATTTTATGCAATTTAAAACGTAGAACTTCAGTCAAGGAACATTTTAAAACTGAAAATATTATGACTGTTTATGGAATGTACTGTATGTCTATGAAACAGTATTATCAGTAAAAGACAGATTTAGGCCTAATGAATTACAACGATGTACTCCTTTGAAGGGGTTTAGTTCTATAAGTTATTAATTGCTTTATTTCATTTAAATTAAAACTTTTGATTTTAAAATAATTTTATCTATTATTTTTTTTATTTTGATATTTTCATGTATAAACTTTCATATTGTACTGCTTGTTTTACTTTATTTGATCTGAAAGGCTATTAATATTCATCGTATGTTGTTCCGCCATAAATAATTATGAGTATTTTAGTTAAGTTGGTTTTATTAAATTACTCTTGATGTCATTCCTTTATTTATGTATTGTACTTAAATGAATAAAGTAAACTATGAAATGAAATGAAGCCAACGTTATACCAACGGTATATAAAACTATACTAACTTAAACTAGGTATGTTTAGTAAAGTGGAAAAAGAAAGGGAATGATTAACACTCATTAAAATGCCATTAATGCAAACACTGGGCTACTGGCCTAAAAACACAAAAAATAAAATACAAAAATAATTTCTGGAAACAAATAACAGTGTAAGAATTATTTAATGAAAAGGGTATCTGCATTCAGCCCACACTAGTGAAATTTCGTTTGCAATCTCTCGGTATAAGGCAATGTCTGAAGTACAACTATTATAGGACCTTGCCAGCTGCTTGAAGAACATTACCTTTTATGGATATGAGAGAAATCCACTAAGTAGACCAATGGAAAGAGGAGCCATATGTGCAAGAAAACGCCCGAAATGTGACAAATATCGATTAGTAAGTAATGGAAAACAATAGATTTTGTTTTTTGGTATACATAGATTGATAATATATGACTGTGATACAAAAATACATTGCCAACTACTGAAAATGGTTTTGATTTAAAAATTTATAACTTGAATTTACCGCGTGAAGCCAAGCAAGGTGATTCGTAAAGAGGACTGACCAATGGAACCTCTTCTTTACTCTCAGGAGTGCCAACCAAAGTTTTACTGGTCCAGTACCAATTTCGCAGCATCTCCTCATATTTTCACAATTTATTCGATAAATAATTTTTTATACAGAGTTTTATACATACATTTATATTTTAGTTCCATTTTTCTTCGGTTAATGGGCTTTATTCACAACAGATTCTATAGCGTATGTTTGACAATAGTGTGGTAGAACTGTACAGAACCTGGATACCATAACCTCAGCTGTGAAAGAATCTGATTCATCAGTAAAAAGCTTTAGGTGTTGGCCGAGTTGGAGTTGTCAAATATCTATTGACGTCACAAAGGTTTGTTCCTCTAATTCTATTATTGTTCTAGCCTTAGACATTTTAATAAAGTTGAGAGATTGAACAAATCAAAGGTTGGCGATTCATTGTTTTATTTGGTGTTTTTAGAGCAGATTTCATAAGCCCAGAAGCTACAATAGCTTCAGCCTTGAATACTGCTTAGCCAAGGAATTTATTTTTCATCGACTAAGAACGTGGAGATTTGTAAGAATCATGAGTCACTAACTTATTCAACGAATTAGTTTAAGAAATGTTAAAATATGTTTTAAATGTACATTTTGAAACATAGCATACTTAGCCTACTGTTACTACCAACCACTTGGGATATTGATAGAACCTAGGCTACTGAAAATAAATAAATGGAACCTAGGCCTGCTCAATATAGGCCTAGTAAATTATTTCACACACCATGACAGTTTGATTTAAACTTCAAGATGCTAAGTTAAATCACCCGCAGTTCCTTGATTGAACCTCACTTAACTTAAGTTAACATACCCTACGTCTTAACTTAAGTTGGTATCTTATAAATATTTAGCATAATCTAGTCCTTTAGGTACTATGTTAAACATTCAAAACATTAGGTTTAGACCACTAAGTAGGCCTATTCAATGTTTGAGTCAAGGTTGGGTTAAGGTTGTAGGCGTACGCTGAGACCTCTGCTGTACTTGGTAGCCCATGGTAACTTAGGCCTAGACTAACCGCCTAACTTACGAGGTGATGGTCGAGTATGAGTAAGGTAATTTATTTTAGGATTTTTGGGACAGGTAACTTGAAACATTAACTTCGTTCATGGCAACTGTGTTAAAAGAGCAAAACGTATGATCGAGGATTAGGTTGTTTTGTTGGTTAAAGTGTCTGACTCGAAATATACTGGTAATATCACTCCTTAGTTAAAGCAACATCAGTAAAAACAATTACACCTAGTACTCAGTAGGCCTAACTCATTTCCTCAGGGTACATATTTTATCTATTGCCAAAGTAGAGGCCTATCCTACGTGATAAACTCGACCCTAATTCGAAAATGATCGAGACTTCTACTCAGATGTTTTGTATTTTCAACAAACAGTAGTCTAAGTAGCAACTCATGTACTCCTTAAAAGTATCAGTTTGTAAAATTTCCATGTACTATTTAGAATTAGGTCCACCTTTCA